ATTCTTGGTGACTGTAATTTTTTTCTCTAGAATTGTTTATTGCCTATACGTGTATATGCTGTAGACTAATATTATCTGGATTGTGGGTCGCTTTGATACGTGGTATGGGTATGAGTACATGGTACGACACTTTCTTATGTACGCAGTACAATGGGGGTAGGTTTAACTAGTACAATATTTTGGGTCGTAATTCATTTTTGAACTCTTCTATCAATCATTTTCACTACTATACAACATTATATATTACAGAACATTCATAAACACTAAGTTAGTTACTATTTATCTTATAGTTGTGCTTGATTTTCTATTATATACATAGTTGTCAAATAGTGTATTAGAAGACGTATCGTTTTTAAAAAATAGTATATCGTATTGTAAGATTCGCGTAATTTTAATTTTTAAATAATTATTAATAAAATATATGTATATACTTTTATAAAAAAATCATAGACTCATAATAATATAGCATTTCATTAATATTCTACCAACTATTCAAGTTCCTAACATAGTTTAGTAATATCAAAATACAAAAACCTTTAATTCAAACTCCTAACATCAATTACTTGAACAACTTTAATATTAATTAGGAATTTTGAATTCAATTGAACAACATTAATAACATATTTTATTTATTTATTTTTAAACTATAACCACTGAAACGACATTGTTTCACTAGTTAGTGATTTAAAAATAAGTTATAGGGTAAAACGATCTCATTTTAACTCCAAAAAATTAAAAAACAGAATCGTCACGTATCGTACGTATTGTATTGTACGATATAATGCAAAAACGATACAGAAGCACAATATGCATCGTTTTTCAGGTGTATCGTGATGTATCGTACGATACGTATCGCGTATCGTACGATACTAATAACTATGATTATATAAAATAATATATAATTATAAATCTATATATATGTAGTCAATTAATATATATTTTATAGTTGTACTACATGTTCTAAAGTGAATTGATTTAATATTAGTATTACAATTTGGGGTCATTCATTTTGGTGATCTGAATCGTGAACCCACCTCATTTGGGATTGATGAACCCAGATCGTGGGTCATTAAGGGTTTAGTGAATTGTGATAACCATGCTACAGGCTACTAGGGGAGTTGTTTTTGGGATTTTTTTAATTGTTTAGTGTGCGTGTGCACACACACAGAGATGACCTGGTGTTCGGAGATCGAGAATTGAGATAGAATCGATTGTGTGTGTGCGATTAGGAGTTCGGAGTCCAGAGATTCGGATACGGAATTGATAGCCTGAGTGTGTGCGTAAGTGTTCTGGAGATGATTAGGCTATTAATGGAGCGTCAGAATGTGACTAGCGAAATGAAAATGAGTTGGAATGAGAATCCGGACGAGTTAGGGTTAACGTGTACCCAAGAGTTAGGGGTGCAAGGAATTCTATTTGCGAATCAAATTGTGGGTCAATTCAATGTCCAAAAATTTAATCGGTATAGTGCGTTATTTAATATTTGAGTACTTTTAAAATATATATATATATATATATATTTAATTAATTTTTCAAAATTTGACAAAAATAAGAAATTACAAGATTGCCATTGGGGGTGGCAAGCACCTCCCATAAAGGGAAGAAAATCCGGTGGTGGGGGAGAGAAAGTGAAGGGAGAAGTTTAGAGAGAGAAAATATTAGACTTGAATTTCGGATTTTCTACAAAGGGCTGCTCAAATGATTTGAGGTATACTTCTAGCTTAATTAGGATGCTAGGAATTCATTTATGTTATAAGTTTTTGATTTAGTTAGCTATAGATGCACGAATTTAGGTTTGAAAAATTTGGGTCTAAAGGTGTCATGAAATCAATTTGTGAATTCTTGGTCTTTTGGCTTAATTAGTTGAGCGGGTTGAGTTTCTGAGGGGTCAAGGAGTAGTTGAAGGTGGTTTGGAGGCAGACCGTGGCCAGCGGGGGTGTGAGGGTGGTGGAGAAGTTTCAATTAGGTGGGTTTTTGATCTCTTCGTTTTGGGGGTTAAGCTCCCCCGGGGGGGGGGGCGGGGGAAGGGGTTGTCCCTAGTTAATTTGGACCTTAGGAATCCATTGGTGGCCTCAAAAGTGAGTTTGGATGTCATTTGGGAGTGAAAAGGGGAGTTGAAGATCTGACCTTGTTTTAAAAATCAAATTTGGAGGTAAATTTTACGATAGATTCGTGGAGTTTGATGGTGATTTGAAGGGAGTGATTCACATGGTTCAAAAGTAGGTTTGTAGGAAAGCAACTTAGGCTTTTGAATCACTGAAAAATCTTGAGAAATGGTGGAGTTATGGGCATCCAAAGTTGGTTCGTTGGCTGAAAATCAGCTGTAATCAACCTGTTTTTATGACTCTTGAGTCTACTTTGACTTAATTTTGGGAAAACTAGAAGGCGTTTTGATGCAAACCAGCACTTGGATGTCAAAATAGGTATGGAGTAGTGTAGTTTAGGATTTGAATCATGTAAAAATGTGGAGAAATGAGGGAAACAATGATGCTCAAAATTTACCAAAAATATGGAAAATCAGACTTGGTCAAAGGCTCAAAGTTGAAGATGAAGTGGGGGGGAAGATCATGGGACACCCTGACAACACGTGATGGTGCGTTCGGTATTTGATGGACCTATGGTCGGTTCCAAAAGTTCTGTAACTTCTGTGCCGAGGTCTTGGTAAAATTTGAGGGCAATCCGATACTCGAATCAATGTGCTATAAAATGTCTGTTTTTCCCTTTGGGGCCAATTTGACCCAATTTTTAGGTGATTTTGACCAAATAAATTTTATATTTACGTTTAATTAGTTAAATTGAGTATGTGTATGAAATTTCATTGAAAAATAACATAACTTTATTTTTTACTATTTGAGATCGAAATATCGAGATTGATAGGGTTTCTCAATTCCGGATCTGACGATGCTTTCCAAAATTATTTTTAAATTATTTTATATGTTATTTATGATCATTTAACATATTTTGAAATATATGATTGGGTGTTTGAATAATGACTTGAAATCCGGACCCGGATTAGGGTTTTTGTGTGCGGTTCGCACAAATGCCGTAATGATCGCATTGCTCATATTGAATGAAACTTCGGAATCCTTTTAAACTAAATGAAAGTGCACATAGGTCTAGTGGCGGAGCGTTTACATTCTAGGTTGAGGCTGTAGAGGGTTTCTCATTGAGTTCGTAAATGTTTGGGTGGCCCTGTTGGCCTTTGGACTTGGGTACTAAATTGTGATTAGGGGGCGTATCTTTCTCGGGGTGAAAGTCTCACAAAAAGTTGGATCGTATATTTGTATTAACCCTGAGTGATTTCTTAAAATAATTGCCCACTAGTGCAGGACTGTATTGATGGTGTGATCGTATTATTATTTTCATCTTAAATATTTTCACTCAATGTTTTCTGCTCTATTATTTATATATAAAATGAACTGTTTTGATATTGCCCAATAATATCAAATTTTGTTATTTTCAAACTTGCATGCTTCGGAGTTGAGCTACTCTACTGAGCTGTTGATGCTTACCCCACATTATTTTTCCTTTTTTAGATTAGCGGGTGGCAGAGAAGTTTGCGAATATTCGAACTGCCAGTTTATCTTTGTTTTTGTTAAATAATGTCTGAGGGTTGTATTACTATTTGTAATAAGGTGATGCGACTAAAGAGTATATTTGATATAATACTGCAAGGTTGTTATTCATATCATTGGTATCAGAGCTTAACTATTGTTTGAGGATTGTATTGTTTACTTCTAATAGAGGCTATTTGCGCTCTGGATTATACAGAATTGGATCAGGGTTTTACACAGAGAGAGAGAGAGAGAGAGAGAGGGTTAGGTGTCTACATGCATACTCGGTTCCTACCCTCTATGAATTTCGTTGCTTTGGTGATTGACTTTGTGATGGCAATTTCAGTCGATGAATCCTATTATTGAAGCCATTGCAGTGGAGACAGCTGGTTTAAGTCAATGTCCAGCTTCAACTTGGTGAAGCTATTAAAGGGTACACAGTGAAAACATCACATTGGGGCCAAGATACCCTGACTGACTCAATTAGCTTGGTCACAATCTCTCCAAGCTCTAGATTTGAGTAGATTCTGCAAGCTGAGTAAAGCTCTCAATAAATCAGGTCCTGCCCGCATAGGCATCTTTGTGATAAGCTCTTTTAGAGTATCTGGCTTCTCAACATGATCTATTAAATTGGGCGAATCCAATAGTTTGGCAATGATGGCTGCAGGGTTGAATTGGTAGAGAAGGAAAGAGAGATTACAGGGCAGGGAAAAGGAGGAAACAATAGGCAGAAATCAATGTATTTTGGTCATTAAGAATAACTTTTGGAGGAAATATTTTGCCCCCACATCAACAGACCTTTTTGGCGAATGTAATGCACTGTTCATTATTTAGGATGGAAAAAACACTAATTTCACTTAGTTCCAACACTACAGAGGTTGCTTGTAGGATTTTAAAGCATAGGACGGTAATATGTACATTGACCAAATCACAGGGAAGTAATTCATGGTTTAACTTTAAACTTATGAGATTAATATACATTCATGTGCCTATTACCTCACTGCGTGATCCCCTGAGCGTAGTGGTGGGCTACATGGTATCACAACTTTAGTTTTGGGATTTAGGCACTAGAGCTTGATATTTTGGGCTCGATCTCTAACAGCTCAAGCTTTATATCTCCAAAATGAGATATAAAATTAGGCTATGGGGTTCTGGATCCTGGAACAGGAAGTAAAAGTCATTCTGATCAATATAATTATATAAAACACATAGAACATTGTGCCAAAAAAGAGAAGGGCAAAACACATGCTTTGAAGGATCTCTGTTACAGGGATAGCATAATCCTTGAGCAAGTTATTGCAGTTTTGACTTCTGAGGCATTTCTGTTTGTAGGAGTTAATATTTTTTTTCCCTGGACTATAATGTTGTTAGCTTACCTGTTTTTTATTTTATTTTCATTCTTTACGAGATCTTCAGAATCCTGGAAGTGGTCCCCCTCCAAACTCAATGCTTTCACCCCTTCCTCCTGAACGTGCTGATTATGATCGTGGGGCAACAGTTGATATTCCTCTTGATAGTTCCAAGGTAGATCAAAGCTCTAAAGATGTTTGATGAGTGCAATATTTCTATTTGTGCATTCCAGAACGCATTAGGGTAACATCTTCTTACCATCCTTCTCTTTAAATATAGGATTTGAGAATGAAGGAGAAGGAACTCCAAGCTAAAGAAGCAGAACTAAAGAGGAGAGAACAGGTACTTGCTTATTGTTCTCTTTTATGGTAGCTTCTGAATATGGGTTAGTCATTGTAAATTGAATACGAAGTGTTCCAATTTAATTTTTTTTCCAGTGTTTATGTCAATTTAATTTGGTTGGTTGATTATATGTGTTAGTTGAGCATGTATGTGTCCTTAGAAGTGCAGTTATCTGTAAATTTGGACCGGGAAGAAGTAAATTNTATATGTGTTAGTTGAGCATGTATGTGTCCTTAGAAGTGCAGTTATCTGTAAATTTGAACCGGGAAGAAGTAATCAAGGATCAAAATTTCGTTTCGAAGTACCGTTTCGGTCAACTCAAAAATAGAAACGTTTCGGAAACATTTCGGAAACGCAGAAAAAATATGGAAACGCATAGAAACACAAATGCAATCCATTAATTTATAAAGATATGCTAAATAATTTATTAATTCAACATATTTATTAGGTTAACATCAATTTATACAAGAATAAATTTAAATTTGAGGGAAAAAAAGGCTTGACTTGAGGCGAAAGTCACTTAAATTAGTTTCAAACACTTAATTTTTATGAAATAAACACATTTTTACATAATATTAAGGTCTTATAATACACATGAAATGCTAATGAGTACATACTTACATGGTTACATCCATTCCCCTGTGGAGTGTCGAGCAGGCTCATACATCGGTGTAGGCTCTGGGTAGCTACTTAGAGAAACTTCATATGTGACATAAATATGATGACAATAGTTACTCCAAATCATATTATTACGGTAATATAATCCAATTAATAATACTATTTTATTATAATACTAATAATGAAGGGTATCAAATTAAATTAATGATACTTATGTATACTTAAAAATTAAATGTAATTGCAGTGGGTATTAAATGTAATTACAGTAGGTATTAAATATAATTACATTA